ACACAGAGCCAATAGCAGTAAAAGCTGTAAAAGAATAATAAATTATTTATATATTCTCAAGTAACATCTCACTTACCGCAAATAAAGAAAAATGTTAACAAGAAAATTGAAGTTTTCGACTTTGACATCTCAATTAAAAAAATGATCCAAGCTGAAAAAATTGATAAAAACTGATCAAGTATCGTGAAGGGAATCGACTTTTATAGTTGATGGCTTCGCAATTTAATGATCAAAACCGTTTCATTAAATTTTTTTAATGATTAAAAGTACTAAATATTTCTCCATTAAGCGAATTTCAAATTTCTTGCAAAATTCGTTGCATCCGAATAAAAGAATTGAATCTCTTGATACAACGATGGCTGAAGGGATCGCGTTGTATCGAGGGAGACTGACAGTCGTACTATGGCAAATGTTTACATAAATGCTAATCATCGATCGCGTTCACGTGTCATAAACTTAATTTTCATTTTAAAAGATTATTCTGATCCAGATCCTGATTATGAATCCATTGATGGTCGTTTAAACAAACCTCCGTTAGAGTATTAAAACTGTTTCAAAAAGGTTTTAAACTTCTAAAGCATTTATCTAATCAGTCTTAATATTCAAACTAAAATCATTTTTGTTAATTGTCAAACAGAACAAACTGGAATTTATTGGACATTAGCTACAAACTATGCTGATTATGCTGTTGTGTGGAGTTGTCGTGGACTTCCTGGTGGAAGATCAACTGAATCTGCTTGGGTGCTTTCAAGAACACTTCAAACATCAGAAGCTGTTAGACTTCGTTGTGAAGAAGTTCTTCGAGCTAATGATATTTAATAATGATACGAGTGTTCAAAGTTTGGATTCAAACCGAAAGATTTGCGCAACCCATTAAATATTTACTGAAGCTCGCATGAAAGCTTCACAGAAAAATCTCAAAGCTTTTAAAAGCTCTGTCGCGATAAACTTGAGCTTTTTTATTATTATTTGAAAGGCAAAGTTTAGATTAAAAGTTCTCGATGTTGTTATTTAGCACTGATCAAATCAGCAATTTTGGAAAATATTTAAGTTAGATAAATTTAATTTTTGCTTTTGAAGTTCTTAAAATTGCCAAACTTATAATGAGGATTAAATATTTCAATTTTTCATTTTTTTTCAACTTCGAATTCTCTAAAAAAAATCTTGTTTGATGATTGAAATGAAACTGTTGAAGAATCATTTTGGTCAAGCTATATGTAAATACTTTTAGGTTCTTTCAATTACCACCAATTAGTTATCAGTGGAACATGTCGAGTCTTATAAGATTGTGGGTTTACTTTTAATCCATTATAAAGTTCACCCAAATGATTGAAAATCACTTCTAACTCTCAAATCAATTTCAAGAGTCTTTCATCAAAATGCTTCATGATAGATAAGAATCCGGATTTACCCATAAGGTGGGGTAATCGCTACTTAACTCCAAAGACGTCAATTACAAACGTAATTTCCTTAATCTAGAAAAATATTTTAATCTAGAAAAAGAAGGAAGCAGACACTTACGTAAGCAATTCTTAATTCATTTTTATGAAATAATTTAACCTTGTGAATTTCTACCTTCCAAGAATTAAATTCTCAATTTTTGACACGTTATCAAGACTTGAAAAATTGAATTGAAAGCTGTTTAAACTCACTCTAAGTGCTATCGGAATATATATCTACTTCATTTAATTATTTTCTTTTTCAATGTATAGAAGATGTGCAAATATATCAAGACGATGAATTTTGTTTGAATTAATTTTTTTATTAATTGTTTTTCATATCTCAATAATTCAAAATTTAGTTAATTTTTTTTAGCTAAACTCAGAAATATTTTTCAAAACTCAATGTGAAAAGAGCTTTGATTTTAGATTAACTGGCAACAGCATCTGAAATCAAAAAATCCAGAAGTCCGTAAGGACCTATAACCAGGTGGACAAATAAATGTCCAACAAGGCTCGCTTTCCCCATTAGAACAGTCTGGAAAGCCTCACACAGTAATAGCAGTAAAAGCTGTAAAAGAATAATAATTTATTTATATATTCTCAAGTAACATCTCACTTACCGCAAATAAAGAAAAATGTTAACAAGAAAATTGAAGTTTTCGACTTTGACATCTCAATTAAAAAAATGATCCAAGCTGAAAAATTAATAAAAACTGATCAAGAATCGTGAA